GGGAAGATCAAGGTTGCCACCGTCAAGGGACCTACCAGGAAACTACTGTTAGGGGAAAGAGTCGCGTTGAACACACTAGCACGGTGCAGCGGTGTGGCTTCCAGGTCACGAAAGATGCTCGAGCTGGTGCGCAGTGCTGGCTACCAGGGTATCTTGGCCGGCACGCGCAAGACCACACCGGGGTTCCGACTCGTCGAGAAGTACGGCATGCTAGTCGGCGGGATCGACGGCCACCGCCACGACCTGTCGAGCATGATCATGCTCAAGGACAATCACATCTGGGCGAAGGGGTCCATCACCAACGCAGTCAAGGCGGCCCGCGCGGTCGGGGGCTTCGCGCTCAAGATCGAGGTCGAGGTGCAGACCGAGGCAGAGGCGGACGAGGCCATCGAAGCGGGCGCCGACGTGGTCATGCTGGACAACTTTGACGGCGAGGGCTTGAAGGTCGCGGCACGGAATCTGAAGGAGAGATGGAGGGCCCGCGGCCGGGCAGACGTGCTCCTGGAGAGCAGCGGCGGCCTGACCGAGGCCAACGTCAAGGGCTACATCAATAACGGTGCGTCAATCTTTCTCCCCATCTCTTGTCATTTGCTTGCCCACTTTGTCTTCCTTTGTAAATGCCTGTCCCTTTGTACGAGGCGGTTGGCAGAGCAGTGTTTTCCCTCGCTCGTCAACTTTTGTATGATTTCTTCTCTTTCCTCCCTTGAGCGCCTCACCTTTCATTTTTTTCCCCCCTCCTTTACTAACTTCCTCCGTTCTCCGACCGTTGCAGACATCGACATGATATCCACGAGCGCCGTCCACCAGGGCGTGCCGCACATAGATTTCTCCCTGAAAATCGACCATTGAACCGGTTCCAGGCCCCTTTTAATTTGGCCCTTATTCCTGGTTTCCCGTCTCTATCTATGCATCCTTCCATCCATGCATCCATGCATTGGTTGATTGATTGGTCTGTTGGAATTGACAATCTTTTCTCCCTCCTATTTGGCCCGCACAAGACTCCCAACCGCCCGGTCTCTCTCTCTCTCTCGATTTCTCGGCGTGTTTGTCATTGTAGAAGATCAGGTTATGTTAAGGTCCTGCTTCGACAGCGGCAGCGATACCCCTACCAGACCCGGAATACGAACCCTCGCAACTCGTCTCGTCCACCCGCTCATCCTCTTCTCACGTCCCCATTCGCACTCATGCTCTAGGCGACACGGACAAGGCCCCGATTCGCGTAACGTCCCAAAAAAAAACCCTGCATTGTGATTACTCAGGTAGGTAAGGTAGGTAAGGACTTCAATGCCATTAAAAGAAGAAGAAGAAGAAGATTCCGATCAAAGGACCCTTCAAGCAGGGAAATGTACAATGCTCCATAAAACCCCATCGATCGTCCATCCATCCCAGAGTTCAAGAGTTTTCCTCAAATCCACCCCTGTAGAAGAAGGAAGAGAAAAAAAAAGTCCCAAAGTTCATCCCTGTTCATCCATCATCGCCGTCCCTGGGTATTATGAATATCCTGCCTGCTTGCTTGCTCTCTTCGATACTCCGTCTCAGAAAAGGTAGTTGGTTTTGGGGGAAAAAAAAAAAGAGAGAGAAAAAGGGAGAAAAGGCCAAAAAGTAGCGCCGTCACCTGTACCTCCCCGTGTGCCACCATGTCGACAATTTACCAGAGCCAATAGTACCTAGTATCCATCACGTCTTCTCCTCACCCAACGGGCAGCGCCAAAGACTTCTTTCCTTGTCGATCAATGGAGCCCAAAGTCGCCATTTTCGGCAACCCATCCCCCATTACTCTTGTCGCAGATATCCATCGCTACACGCATTGGCCAAAGCGCCCTCCCCCATCCGTATGAGTTCAAACTTTTGTCTTAATTGTCATTGTCCCACAGTTCCGCCACTCGGTATTGGAGGTCCTCCGTTTGAAATGGACCGTTCGACTTGCTCAACAGGTAAAGACCTCCTTCTTCGCTGCCCAGCAGCAAGGAGGAATGATCCGGCGAAAGACGGCCACACAGTATTTCACTGCCGGTGTCCACAAGGTCTTCGACAAAGACATCGGCAGGCGAGCGCCGCGTGTCCCAATACTTGAGGATGCCATCACTAGACCCTGTGTATAATTGTCCCCGTGTATGGCTCCATTCGATGTATCGGACGCCCACATCCTCAACCTCTCGGTCTTTTCCGGGCGGGATGCGGATCACGGGTTGACCGTGGGCTAGCCTGTGTAAGGGTTTTTGAGGCTGACGCTGATCCCAAACGTACGTTGAACCGTTGGTACACGAGGCTGTGACAAGACCGTGGTCAATGGTCACATCGTTGATGTCCTTTGCCCGGCAGCTATACCTCGAGATCGAGTCTGGCTGGTTGGGCGAGTACAGCTTGACCACAGAATGCTCTCCTGGCTCTCTCCTCGTCAAGGCATTACTTGTGCTCCCAACGGCGAACAAGTCGCCTGTCGGATTCCAGGCGCAATCAAACACGTATGTATCTCCCTGCGGGAAGTGTAAGTGTTCGCAGGACCCCTCGCGGAATTTCCACATGGCGATGCAGCCGCCGCCAAAATGGCCGTTGACATCATTACCAAAGCCTGCAAGGAGCCAATCCCGGCTACCAGCGTGTCCGAACCGGAGACACGTCGGTGAAAATGGGAACGATTTCCTTCCTGTTTCCCGGTTCATCTTAATCTCCTGAGGCCGGACATCTACCTCAGAATTCATAAAGAAAACTCGGATCGATCGGAGTCCGCCTTCGGTACCTGTCGCGAATAATGTGCTCTGCTCCCCAGCCACGTCCATGACTTCTAGCCGCTGAGAATACTGTATTTCCGTCTTACAGTGGATGGAAGCCTCATCCCCCACGTCCCAGACGCGGACCTTACTGTCAAACCCAGCACTGAGCAACCTGTTGCCCGTTGGAGTAAATCGAACGGCGCTGACGGTCTGGTAAATATACTTTGGCTCCCCAGCCGCTGCATTGCCAAAGATCCGATGTTCAGGAAGATCTCGGAGCATCTTGGAAGGTACTGAGCCATAAATCAAGTTCCCACGTCGGTTGTTCTGGAACTTTTTCGAAGATTCAATAATCGAGTTGCTGGCAGCCGCAAAGTGTTTGGAATCTGGGGACCAGTCCACTTGCACTATGTCGCTCGACGCATGACCCCAGATAAACCGAAGGTACATATGGCTGCCCGATCTTGCAGATGATGAAACGGGCGCACGAAGCTTCCGAGACTTGGCCTTGGTTCGTTTGGCTCTCGGCTGGTCTGTCGGTGTTGCAGTCTGCTTTCCGTTCGAGTTATCATTCATTGATGATCTGCGCTTCCGGGTCATGTGAGGAACTTTGGCCATCACGGCAGCTGCCCAGTCCAGACCACGACTTTCGCACTTGTGGCGAGTATCGTAAGACCATTTCGCCATCATCTGTTGGTACGTGCGATCATATCCACGTGTGCTTAAAATGGCGGCTGCCCGTTTCCACATGTGTGACTTTGTCGGTCCGAGATCTTCCCCTTGCATTAAATCATAGATAGTTTCGATCATAAATGATTCTTCCTCGTCTGTCCATCGACGAGATGAGTCCCGCAGCGACTGGGAGCTCTTCTTAGGTAGTGATGAGTGTTCTCGTCGATTCTGTGCCTTGGGGGTTTTCGGAGGGACAGTGGGTTGAGCTTTCCTGACGTTGCGCCATGCGGTTTCAACTGGGACCGGAGACTCCTCATGCACAACGTCCTGATCTTGATTGCCATCGTCAATGGGCGGGGTGGTGCGCCAAGCAGTTTCATCTGGGACCGGAGATTCCTCATGCACGATGTCCTGATCATGGTTGTCGTCGTCACTGAAATAGAATGGAGCACGGTAGTTGTCGGCTTCATCAACACTTGAAGTCTCGTCTTCCTGTCCAGGAGGCTCCTCTGGGTCAGGGCTTTGGATAATCTCGGTGCGATTGTCCTTGGAAAGAGGCTCGCTGGTACCGCGACGTGCTACTATTTGAGGAGTGGATTCAAGCGCGGGAGTTTCCACGTGTCGGGGTTCTGTACCGGAATCCAACTGCTCCGATGTTCCATTTGCAACGGACGTTTCAGTAGCTTCCTTTGCTTGTCGTGGAGCAACCGAGGGGGAGGCCTCAACCGTGGGCTTGGATCCTGTTGTGGGTAGTCGCCGTTGGTGGTGGCTATAGTTTCCGCCGGCACATTTCATGCAATCTTTCTTCAAGTTTTGAATGGACTTTGCATGTTCAAAGGCCAGCATCTTCACAAATTTAGTCAAGACAGCGAGATTTTCGTTGAACTCTTTATCGTGCTGTTCGATAGAGCGCAGAAGCCGCCTCACTGGAGGGCTGTCGATAGCCCCAGGTCCCTCATCGTGTCCGATGTCTAGGTTGCCGTTGGTCAAAACATCAGGCTGTGGATCGCGCCTTGCGTGAGGAGATGCTGGCGTCGGCATATCTTCTGCCATGGATGAGGGCTGTTTAGTGATACATGGGCCAAATGAGGGCCCGAGCTAGAGTTCAGTGAATCGGTCTTCGAGAGAAATGGAGGAGCAGGAAGATTGTCAATGTGAGTAGTGGACCTTTTGCGATGTGAAGTCAAAGCGAGACCATGTGAGGCCAGCAGCGCCAAGCAAGCTCGAGCCTCGCTGCAGCCTTGCGGTCTAACAGCGACTCCGATTGGCTGGCTTGCAGAGATGTCAGCCTTGTCTGAGGAATAGATCGCAGTCACAAGGTAGAGCCACGAAATTGTCCGGCCGTCTGTTTGCACACAAAACATCAACGGTCTGTTGCTCTTTTTGCTTCGTGGCCCGATAATATTTGACGATGGCTGGGAAGCTACGAACTCCGCTTCTGTTCACATATGCCGTGTGGTGACTGTGCCGAAGTTCAACCGTCAACCATCCAACGTTGAACGACGTAAACAACATCATCAATGTTAGGTAGACATTTTTCATGCTGGCACCACAGTTCTCTTCTCACCTGCCCATATCCTTCAGCTCACCATCTCCTAGACTGGAGGCAGGAGAATGGCCACCCAGGATGCCGGCGAACAGACGCATCCTTCTTCTTCTCCACCAGATCTGGAGGCCATCTACATTCACTTGTCCCGCTACCCATTCTCTACTGATTCCGAGTATCAAGCCGGCCTTGCAACGATTTTAGGTCACCAGGACACGCCTGTAACACCGGAAGAACTGCGCGACAAGTCAGACCTGGTGCTCCAGGCCCAATGCTTCTATTTCTCGAGGAGGTTTCACATCACCCCGCCTGTAGCTCCGCAAGCATACTCAGCGTGGCTTCAATCGCAACCACATCCACATCCACACCTTCAGCTATTCTCAACACATTCCCAACCTGAAGCCAACCCCTCAGAACCACCGACAACATCTGCGCCGTCTTCGCTACCACGAGAGCCCGCTCAAACGGCCGCTACCGCCTCCACCTCCTCAACCGATACCGGTACAGCTCCTTCGGAAGCTGCTCAAGACCCACCATACCCCACTTCCTTCGCGGCTATTGTGGACCTTATAACGCGCAACATCCCCGTTCCAGGGATAGAAGAGATCCCGCCCACTGTCCTCGAGCCAGGATCGAGCAAGATCGATAAGACACCGCGGAGGAGGAAACCTTGGGAGAAAGATACCGACACGTCAGGCTCGGAAGAACAACCGTCGCAAGCGGATGGAACATCTGTCCAGGCAAGTGACACACAAGCCACGACCAAGAGTGAAGAGAACCGTGAACCAGAGTCTGGGACCAAAGAAGTCGACATCAACGGACACAAAATGGCCGGCGAAGGGGTGGTAAAGATTCTGCAACCCAACGCCATCCCGGACAGTGGGCTGCTCAGTAGAGATTGAACAGAGGTACTCGAAGAGAAAGCAACGCACACCCTCCGTCACCATTCGAGATGATATTGGAAGGGGCTATGCCATTGGCGACTCCACACAGTCCTGCGGCAACGTGTTCACCATAATTGCAATGTCCGACGGAGAGGTCTACCACGCACATATGTGAGGATGTTATTTGCCAGATGAAGAAGCAACAAGTACGCTGAATTATGCATGGAAACTTGCTATCGCCATCTCGCAACATCCACGGTAGACTACGGCTATCACTGAGATTCCATGTAAAGCATCGGGGCTCAAGTTACGGAGATAGTACAGCCGAGAGAGGCGAACGTCTTTAGCCAGAGAAAGGCAATTAATCAGGGTCGAGACAATTCGAACCATAGTGTACAGCACATTAGTGATGTCTGTTCTGCATGACGCTCTCTCCGCAAAGTGACGTGCTCATGGATGGAGCTCAATCCCTATACCGGTTTTCCTGGGACAGGGGAAACCCCTGTGAGGGAAAAAAAAAGCAAGGCATAGACTCTTTGGCACGCTTTGTTCAGCTATGATATTCACTATCTGCTACATTGTTCTTTCCATTCTGGATGGGTTTTTTCATCATGCCACTGGTAAATACATGCTTTGTCAATTTTCTCCTTCATTTCTTCCGGCGGGGCCATGGACAACTGTCAAAGACACGATATGATGCACAGTCATCCGCCATGACTGACGAACATTGATGCCGATAATGCTGCTAGCTCTGAAATATTGCCGTCAACAAGTTGTGATTCAAAGCAAACACCCACACGCGGCCGATGTTTGTCGGGTCTTTCGTATCGTCGGCAGATATGAAACATTCCTTGTCGATATGAAGAAACACATACAATTGAATATTTCTGTCCGATAAGAGGCAGTTGCAAATGAACAGCCAAGAGGTCCGAGCCAAGATAAGATACTGACTTCAATGGCTCGAGTAGTATCCTCTTCCCCATCGGTCGTGGCAGGTTTGGTCGGTATTCCAAGTTTTAGGGTAGTCGCCCCTTGTTGTATTGACAAACTTGTAGAATACCCTCATCTTGAACAAGATGACACGTAAGTAGATGAGATGACGAAGCGCAAGACTAGACCTCTGTCCATAAAGACGTATCGAGATTCTGACCTAGCGGAAACGAGGCCATTGGTTGCGTGGCTGACCAGGAGCTCCAAATGGGTTGACAACAGCTCCGGGACCAGGACGAGTGACCGAGTTCGGGTTGCAGCAGAGCATGGCGACTCGGGAACCAAATTTGGAACCACGCAAGGAGACCATGTGCTTTCGAATATGGATGGCCACCTGCTCTCGCTGATGGTGGTGAGTGTTCATCAAGATCCATTGAATCAGATAGTTGCCATATTGGTCGCCAGCAATGTCGATGAGCGGAATGCGTGGACGATCTGGATGAGCAGTGGTGATGACTCCAAGGTAGCGATCCAAGAATTCCGGCCCACCGATCTTGAGGCATTTCTCAACAACTTTAGAAGCAAATTGGTCAATGCTGTAGCTGTACGAGTTGGCAAGGATATGGTCAATGACGCGGCGCTTGTCCGGGGGAGAGCCATGCTCGCACAAGTGCTGGATGCACCAGTTGCCGAACTGACCGTGGGCAATGAGGTCAATGTTGGCAATCACTTCTTCGATGGCGGGTCTCTTCTCCTCCTCGATGCAATTCTCGAAAATGTTCTGAACAACCAGGCTGCCTGTTTCACCCAGTGCAACTTCATGCCACATACCACGGAGCGCCTTGTTGACCTCGAGCATGATCTGTGGTGGTTCTCCGCTCCATCTGAGCTCGAAGAGCTTCTGCCAAACATGACAAGCATAGCGGTGAATAACCGTATCCGGAATGCGGCGAAGCAATTCTCGAACCATATCAGCCTTGTGGTCTTCTGGAACCGAATCAAAGGCTTTCTGGATGACATGGCAGCCAAAAGGATCCATACTCAAGGAAAGCACATTGCCGTGAATGGCATTGGCAATGGCAACAACTTGGTCAGGGGTTCCGTGCTCAAAGCATCGCTGAACGAGGAAGTTGCCAAACCGGTTGATCATGAGTGGGTAAGCTTGGTTGACGATGGCTTCAACAATCTCAAACTTTTGTTCCGCGGTACCGACCTTCAGCTTCTGCTGGAGGAAGATGCTGGCCTGCTGGTCATTGTTGCAAACGATCTTGTCGACAATGTACTTCCAATCACACGACACGGACTTGTCGAGGAGACGGCGATAGTTCATTGGCTCAAGGGGCGTGACATAGGTTTGGCTATTCACCCCACCAGCCGAGAGAGGCCATGGATTTCCAGCACTTTGAACTCCGGTGGTATTGAAGTCTGTGGCAGGAGTGATTGGAGTGGTGATACCTCGTTGGTAGTTGTACTGGCCTGGAAACCCGACAGGGCTGATGGGTGGGGGCGTCAACGTGGTAGCGGTTGGCGGGAAGCTACTAAGCTGTGACATTGGGTCAGCGAGGCTTGGGTTGATCCTCAATTGTCCACCATTGCGTCTCATGCCGAGTGTAGGATTAATTGGCATCATGTCACTATTTGACCTCATGTCATATCCCAGCGGAGCTCCAGTACCTGAGAAGTTGCGAGGCTGGAAATTTGTCTCTGCCGGGGAGAAGGGTGCGCCGTAGACTCCATTGTAGGCCTGTCCAGAGAGACGTGCATCACGAGGGTGGTTGTATGCTGGAGCAGTAGGATTGGTAGCCAAAAGATTCGTCATGGATGTTGACGTGTTGTTCCAGATACCCCGGCTACGGACGAAATCGTTGCGGTGTTCGTCCTGACTAGCCCAAGCGTCGGTCTGCGATGTGAAGGGACGGGCAGAGGCATTGAAAGCGCTTTGCAGGTGACCTATGGTTTGTTCAGAGATATCAGTGGAAGCACCAAAGTCGACTTCAGATGGAGGCCCCATGGCTTGGTCGATGGTCTGTTTGAGAGTGCGGGTTTCAGCGAGCTCTTGTTCCTGGCGTGAGATGACGGATCGGGCAGCCTCGAGCTCCTGTTTGACGCGCATCATTTCGGCCACATCGACCTTGCTAATAATTGCTGAGTGTTGAGTAAGCTTTGCAGCTTCAAAGCTGTCATCACTGGAGGGGTGGCCCTTGTGGTTCTCGGATTGCATCTCGCTTCTGAGTTCCTGCTCTTGCTTCTTCAAAGCCTTGCTCGAATCTTGGAGATTGTTCAGGAGCTTGTCGAGATTGCCGAAATCATCAGGCTTTCGCGACTTGACCTCGCCAGTTGGGGTAGCAGCCGGTTTACGGGAGTCATTGAGCTTGAGGCGCGAGAGAATGTCCTCCATACCACTGCCACCCATCACGTTAGGCTCAGAAGGTTTGGAGATGGTCTGCGCAAAAGGGAGTTAGCCGGCTGTAGAAGATAGGTCGTTCTGAAAGGGCGAATAAAGCAGCATACCTTGTCCTTTGCCTTTGGAGGCTGGACGTTGCTGAGCTTGTCACTGTGCAAGATAGTGTAAGAAGGACGGTTAGAAGTTGCGGAGTGAGAGTTGGTGGCCATCTAAGTGCGTGTCAGTGACAAAGTGAAGCAGAAAAAACAAGCAAAACTTACAGTGAGCGTGTTTGCCACGGCTGCAGAGCTATCATCACTTTCCTCTCTGATCTTGACTGTTGGGGTAGATTTGCGACTCATCTTGCCTGTTGGAGATCCAGTTGAGACAAGCGTGGCCATGGGGGTGTTGAAAGTCCGGAAACCAAAGAGCCTGATTGACTGAGGTCTTTACAACATGCAGAGATATCCAGGTATTAGATCAAGAGAAGTCAGGGAGAGAAGCACACCGTCAGAGCGGCGACAGTGACAAGAGATTGCCTGCAAAATGCGGAAGACTTGCGAAATGCTGGAGAAGTTGAGGGTGTAGGGGGTGAGAACAAAGAGAGGGACGTATGAGAAGGAAAGGGGAAGATGTGATGGGAAAGAAGGAAGAGAGTGATGGCAGTTGCAGGCAGACAAGGAAGAGGAGGAATAGGAAGTCAAGGGCGAGTGAAGAAGTGACTGAAGTGGGTTTTTAGAAGACGCTCTTTCTTCACCACAACCTCGCCTCTTGCGTCTCGATTTCTGCTCTTGTCTGCTCCCTCACCAACTGACCTACCAGGCAGTGGACATGCCTTACACGGTCTCTCTGCAATTTTCTCTGCTTCTCTCGCCCTATGATCCCGACTCCCAACTGTCGTCAGGGCAGATATGAAGCAGATGATATCTTCCAGTTGCGATCGAAGAAGCCCATTGCGATAGCACCTGCGTGACCCTTCCACCTTGCCTCATTACCCAAAAGCACGAAATCCGGCTGACCAGCTCCAGTTACCGTGGGTATCAGCCTTGCAGCTTGTCGCAAACCAACCTCGTCGAACCCCCACACGACAAGCTCCAAACGCTCTCTCAGCAGAGGCCGAAGCCACACTCCACCCATTCCTGCTTCCAAATGCAACGATATCGATCCCGACCCTGGTGCAGTAATGAGGATTTTTTCATTAGCAAGTCGAATTGGAAATCCTGGGAAGCGAGCCTCTGGGATCGACAGTCCCAGGCAGATTGTGAGAACATTTCCCTCATTCTCCAATGCCTGTCCATACTCGGAGAAAGGAACAACAGTTGTATCGGCTCCAAAATACTGCAAAAAGTTTCGGCTTGTTTGTACTGCGATGGACAGTGTCTGGTCGGAATCGTGGACGACTTGAAATGGTCCAGTTGTTCGAAGTATTGCGTCCAAGGCTCCTCTTTGACGACCGAATCTCTGATCCAACGTCCTCCAATCCAGGGTGACCTCCCTGCCCCAAACATTGGAAGTGGTCTTGACAAAAGGAGGCAATCCACTTCCGGCGTCAAAAACATGTGGCACATCATCGATGAGGAATTGGTCAGGAGCATTCGCCAGCCGTGCGTTGGGATCTATATGAAATCGGTGGATATTCTCTGTCCGTATATGCCACTGAACTAGAGATCCACATACACTGGTTGTTACCTTTATTCTCCCCAGTCTGTCTGGGGTTGACAACTGGTCAACAACGATCCCATACCTGGACCCCATGTCATGGGAGTTTGGAATGACGAAAACAAAAGATACAGGTACAGTGAGCTTAATACGCCATGCAGTCAGATGTCGCCAGTAGAATTCCATCATTGATTTGGTGGTCATGGTGCCGTCAAACCAATGGCCCTTGTGCAACATCTCCGAATACTGCACCACTTGCCCTACTTGTGCCAACAAGACGTTCATCAGTCGCGAGTGGTAGGCCGGAACATTGTCGTCAGCTGATCCATGTTGTTGTAAGATCGAGATGCCCACCAAATTTTCAGTCAAGATCTCATGGCGGAAGCTGCTTCTTGAGTTCTCGAGAAGAGCGTTTTGAAGAGGGGATGCTTCATTCCACAAGACGTATGGCACGTAGTTTTCAATCGAAGAGTATCCCGACGCAACGGCGGCACCTATAACCCGATCAGGTTGATGGGAAGCAAAATACCACGTCCCCTGCCCACCGTTGGAGTGGCCGGCAACAAGAAGCTTCTCAGAATACAGGCCTGGACCGTCCCATCCTGTGGTGTCAATCCAATCAGCAACCGCGGCCACTGCGGACTGAGCATCAGCAAATCCCCAAGTATGCCAATCATCACCACTCCAGGGGCTCATGCCTGTGGGGGTGAGTATCCATGCCGCCAGATGAGGAGCATCGTCAAACATATGTCGCGCCAGGGGTCCATCTACCTCCACGCCAGCTCCATGAAGGTTCAAGATGACAGGTAAGTCGTGGATTTTTGTCTTATTGGCCGTAGGTGGCGGCTTCAACATCGCGTAAGATATTGTGCCGCTTGGATGGGTGTATGTAATCCTCTGTAAGGAGGACATTTCTACATGCTCCGGCTGTGCAGTGAAAGTGATCTCGTTTAGCCTCCCGTCCTGACCTGAATAAACCAGCACGAGCTTCAATGATTCGTTCAATCTGAAGTTGGTATCGAAGACCATCTTTACTGGACGCGATTGGCCAGGCGCAAGGCGAATGTCTTGACTGGCAACGACATAACTGCTTTCCGCAGACACGGCTGCTATCCGGTGCACATATATCCATGTCGCACCTTGGTTTCGGACCGGGATGCTACCATATCGTGTGCAAAATCTCCCATTGACCACATCGGGCATCACCAAGCCATCTGTGACAACTGCGAGCTCTTCAGAGGTAGGTTTTATCCTCAGACCTGCTTGGATTGTTGGAGGGAAACCGCCCCCCATGGAGCGAACCTCACGCACAAGTCGTACGCTGATATTGTTAACCCCAGGGTGGAGTTCAACCAGCATGGGAATTCGTCCAAACCCGAAGAAGTCCCCACCAAAGACATGGATATCATTGATCCAGAGTTCAATAATATTGTCGCTGAAGACATTGACAACTCTACTCACCGTGTCCCGATTGAAGATCTCCCCTTTCGCCCATGCTTGATACTGAAATGCCGACCATCCATAGACTTTTTGAGCGAACTCCCAATCAATCCCGTCAAAGTCAAGAGAAAGAGTCAGTGAGTGTTCACCGTTCGATATCCTCGGGCTATACTCCTTCCGAGCCCATTGCACTGTCGCGTTTCTCGCCAACGGACTCGGGAAGCAGGTCGCTTCATTCGGAGTGTTGTACTGGATCCCTCCATAAAACTCAAGAGGGTCGGCGCCCCAAACCGCTTCTACCAGGATGTTAGTCTTGCAGCAAGCACTTCAAAAGAGCTGTTCCAACTACCTCGAGTTCCTATTCTGAATGGGCCGATCACGTCCCAGGTGGGAAGGATGGTGATAGTACTCTGGTCGACGGTAGCCTCAGCCGCCAGTATATCCTGAGATGTGGTGGCAGAGGAACAAGCAAACGGACGAGCGACAACAAAGGGCCAGAGGCTCAACAGCTTCACACGCCCCATTCTACTACATGGCGATCAACTGCCCTCATCTGCACAACAAAGTGAGTTGAGGCGGAAAGATATCGGTGTCGGAGCTCCAGTTAATCCGGGACCGACATCTAGAAAGGCAATTTATCCGAAGATAGGCTTCGCGTTATCTAGCCGCGCAATGGCGACGCAGCTGCGGTGGCGCTAGAGGATTACCATCCCTGCTCATGCTACTGTAGGTATTGTCCGAGATTGAAAGATTCTATGCATCATGAATCTCCAAGTTTGATCCAACCACTGAACAATCTTATCACATACAACAACAAAACGACGCCCGCGCCATGCACATGGCGAACACGACAAGGATACCTTGAAACAGCGCACCGGCAAATGCAGTGCAGAGCGGTTGTGTCTGTTTCAATCCTGTTTCCTTCCACACCACTTTGGCATCGACTATGACCACCACCATGACCCAGACTCCTGAACCCCGGACATTTACGCACCGATCCGTATCTCCCCTGAAGAGCGCAAACGAGTCCTCTGGCCATGAAAGATTCCCCTCTTTTGACAACAGCACTCCTCCAAACCTCTACGTCAATGCTTCCGTGGTTGCAGAAAGTCCACAAGAAATCACTTCAACGCCACATCTCAATGGCGAGTTGAAATGGCCGATCAGAAAGATGAGCCAGAGGCTGCGCGATGCTCGGCCCTCTGGAGTGTACACACATAGGTCCAGGCGAAGCGTCAGTGATGCCATACACAGGATTCGTACACGACAAGGTAGTGTGAGTGAGAATGCGCAAGAACTGGCTGAGGCTCTGAAAGCCCCAGTTTCCTACAAACTGATTGTGAGTGACCTGGACTGTGATTCCACCCAGAATCTAACAAACAATAGGCACTGTGTATCACCTGGTATATGACCTCTGCCTTGACGAACACGTCCTCCAAGTCGATATTAAACGCATTTCCCAAGCCGGCAACCCTCACGATCCTACAGTTCGCTTCTGTCTCGATCTGGTGCCTGATTCTGACAGGCTTGTCGTCTCTGTTCCCCTCGATCAAAAGAAGTATACCTGCGCTGAGGAACGGCCTCCGACAACCCTCATGGGACGTCCTGTACACGGCATTCCCTCTTTCAGTCTTCCAGTTGCTCGGCCACCTCTTAAGTTCATATGCAACATCCAAAATCCCGGTTTCGCTGGTTCACACAATCAAAGGTCTCTCACCTCTATTCACTGTGCTGGCATACCGGTTAGTGTTCCGCATACGTTACAAACAAGCCACATATATGTCGCTTATCCCACTCACCGTGGGAGTCATGTTGGCATGTTCTACCGATTTTTCGACAAACTTCTGGGGGATCAGTGCTTCCTTAGTAGCAGCCATTGTCTTTGTGACGCAGAATATATTTTCAAAGAAGCTATTCACCGAATCGGCCCGCGCGGAAGCCGAAGGCCAGGTGCACCTCCCCCGCAAATTGGACAAGCTCAATCTCCTATGCTACTGCTCCGTCGGAGCCTTCATGCTCTCGGCGCCAGTCTGGCTTTACACCGAAGGCTTGGAAATCATGCGAGACTTCTGGAAGGATGGGTCGATTGATCTCACTGAAAAGAGAGGTGCCATGGATCACGGGCAGTTGGCTCTGGAATTTGTCTTCAATGGAATCTTCCATTTCTTCCAGAACATCATGGCGTTTGTCCTGCTCTCCATGTTGTCCCCAGTTTCGTATTCGGTTGCCTCATTGATAAAAAGGGTATGGGTTATTGTTGTGGCGATTATCTGGTTCCGCAGTTCGACCACCCCCATTCAGGTTGTCGGTATCGGTCTCACATGTTTTGGCCTTTATTTGTATGATCGGACGAGTATGGAAGACGCCGCCGAACGAAGGACTCGTGCCGATCATTTTCGTCACAAGCATACACCACTGTTGCCTGTTGCCGAAGTGAAGACACCAGGCCACCATGACGGCTCCCAGATTAATGACGACTATGTGAACGGAATGTCAGATTCACATCCCAAGAGAGATGATAGTCGCAGTCGACAACACGATCCGAGCTACATCTCTGGGTGGCTACCTCCTGGAACGAAACAAGAAAGTACTTGGGCAGTGGGGGACCAAGATGAAAAGCGATAACAAGATGGATGTACCACCACTGGATTAACATAGCGAAGGTGTTTTTTGGAGTCGGCTAACAAAGTGTTACTGGATTTCCGGGAGCCTTGCGGATAAAGAGACATTGTTCTTGGGTGAGCGATATAGACAAACTGGGCGATGTGGCTGCTCACGACCAACAAGCCCAAAAAGGGAAAGAAACGGAAAAACGAAAAACGAAAACGGACGGTAGCGTGCACTCGAATATTTCATTGTAACTCGAACTTGGGGGTAATGTAGCAGCCGTCGGTAAGGGAACCGAAGCATCATGGAAATTTTGATTCTTTCATAGCACGCTCCAGCTACGGCGCGACGATTCATGATCTTGATCTGGGATCATGTAGCAGAGGAGAAAGAGATTTGTGCAAGTAGAGAATCTGCAACCCTGGCTCCTACAATAAATCATGTCCACGAATGAGTTATGGGAGAAGAAAGAAAAGAGTGAAAACGAAAAGGCCGAAAGAAAATTGATATACGAATCAAATGACAGAGAATCTTTGGGGGGGCTGTGACACGCTAAAAAGGGTTTAGTGTGAAGGATGGCCCGGAATGGCGCATGCAGCGCCGAGATGCTGAGTGTGCAGCCACCCCCAGTTTGACCTTTGCGGTTTCAAAAGCGACCTCGACGGCGTCCCCTTTGTCCATTTGTCCCGTCAATATTGCAGGGGAACCAACGGAGACACGATGTCGCGGACAGAAGTCCAGCAAGCTGATTCCATACATGAGGAAGACCCTCACAACGAACCTCCGAAGAAACAGAAGAGCAGACGCCCCGCAAGTACGCAGCAGCAACACCCTGATCGCGAATCGCAGTTTTGCTGACGAGGATCCTTTTACACAGATACCGCGTTTCGGCAGCAGAGGCTGAAGGCATGGCAGTGAGTTTCGCTATACCTTTTGATAATGCCGCTGGAAGTACTAATCTTGTAGGCCTATTCTGACACCCAAGACCGTCCTCCCCCTCCTCTTCGTCGTGGGCATCATTTTTGCCCCCATCGGCGGGCTTCTTCTATGGGCGAGCGCAAGTGTGAGTGGGAATGAGCATTATAAGATGGGCTGTGTCGATACTAAGACAGTCTCAGGTGCAAGAATTGAGGATTGATTACACCGACTGCATTTCGACTGCAGGAAACAACAACTTCACTCAGATCCCCGATTCCAAAGTTCACTCGTCCTTCAAAACATCCAGCAACGCGGTGAGGGCGGAATGGAAGAGATCAACAGACAGGACGACCCCGCCGTGGAGCGTCCCGATCGAAGACACTCCTATTTGTACGCTTCAGTTCTCCATTCCCAACGACATCGGTCCTCCAGTTTATTTGTACTACCGCCTCACCAATTTCTACCAAAATCATCGGAGATATGTGAAGTCGCTCGATACGGATCAACTAAAGGGAGATGCTCTCAGCAATCACACGATCAGCAACAGCGCCTGTAATCCACTCAAACTGAACCACGAAGGCAAGGCCTACTACCCGTGTGGGTTGATTGCCAATTCCATCTTCAATGACACTTTAAATTCTCCAAAACTTGTGAACGCAGCAGGGAATACGCCTGCGCAACCATACGTCATGACCAACCGGAGCATCGCCTGGAGCTCTGATGCATCTCTTTACAAAAAGACAAAATATACCAACGAACAGGTGGCTCCACCTCCTAACTGGATCAAGCGTTATCCGAACTACACCGACGAACACCCAATCCCGGATTTGTCGCAATACGAAGAGTTCCAAGTCTGGATGAGGACAGCTGGTCTGCCCACGTTCAGTAAACTAGCCCTGCGCAATGACGATGACAAAATGACGGCGGGCATCTACCAGATGGAGATATATGACTGTGAGTGTGCTCCATAGTGGTCTGCATGCTTGAAATCTAATTATGTGGCAAAGTCTTCCCAGTTTCAGTGTATGACGGGACCAAGAGCATCCTGATCTCGACGAGGTCGGTGGTGGGTGGCAAGAACTCGTTCTTGGGGATTGCATACGTTGCCATTGGCGGATTATGCATCGTTCTGGGTGCATTGTTTACTCTTGCACATCTGATCAGACCCAGGTAAGATCCTTTACCCGTTGTGGGATGTGTCGAAATTCGCTTACCAGGAAGCAGAAAACTCGGTGACCATACGTATCTATCATGGAACAACGACGCTCCGGCGACCGGAATCCTCGCCACTGGTCGCGAAGTTCGACCTGGAGGGTCTTAAAAACGTTATGACAAGAGTGTATGATTCTTCTAACACGGGCGATATAGTGTTTGTTATATCACGGAGCCGGCGTTTACAATGCAATTTGAGACGGGTTTTTGGGGCAGGGGCTACTGGTGCAGCTCTATAAAGATCCAGTCAGCCTTGGTCGCTATTCTTTCTTTGCAAAGATGCTCTTCGAGCGTCTCCTTCCGATTTCGACTTGGCGTGGCAAAGAATGTCATTGACGGGTATTTGATGCGATTCCTCCGACATTCCACGGCACCCACATGGCAAACTTGTGATGGTGATCTGCGCCTTTGTTTTGCGCTTTACCGTCTTGCTTTCTGCTTTCTGCTTTCTGCTTTCTGCTTTCTGCTCTCTGCTCCTCTTGTCGCATTGCCAAGTACCTTGTTCCTTTCTGTACTATGATTTGTTTCTATGAGAAATTGTCCCGTTGTTTGGTCTTTTTACTGTTTGTCACCTTGACGATCTTCTGCTCATCCAGTTTAGCCGGGATTCCCAAATACCGACCAATTCATCGGTCCTGCGGTGTTGCTGCGCCGTCGAAAGATCTTCTCTCCACACATCGATATCTCCAAACACACGAGCCCCTCGAGAACGACCTCTGGAACAGTTCTCTCATCGCTGCCCGTCATTCCTCCAGCCATGAACGCCGCCAAAGCCTGGTGGCTCTCTTCACGACTGATACGTACATGCACATCGTATCCGACACAGCCAGCTCATCCTCGTCTTCAACGAACTACATCACCGATACCATGATCCAGAACCAGTTTATCTATCTCGCCCGATCTTACACAAACGCATCTATAGGGTTCCGCTTGGCCGGGGTGACCCGGACGACGAACGACACATGGGCGCGCAATGGGGACGACATTGGAATGAAGCGGGCGCTGCGAGCAGGGACATACTCGAGCCTGAACATCTACTATCAGTCTCTTCTGCAAGCAGGCAGTAACACTCCCGGGGTCCCAGCAGGGAGTACGTTGCTTGGGTTCTGTTCCTTACCTGCGAGTGGAGTGACCTCGACGACTCCCCGAAGCCTGTATCACATCGACGGATGTAATATACTGAGCGGGACCATGCCCGGAGGAAATATGCAGGGGTACAACTTGGGAGGGACCACGGCACACGAGGTGGGCCACTGGAACGGTTTGCTGCACACGTTCAATGGGAATAGTTGTGACGCTTCAGACTGGGGAGATTATGTGGCGGATACGCCGCAAGAGATGACCAGTACGAGTATGTCGACTCTTTTCCCCCCTCGTCCTCAAGTTCATATTCTGTGTTATAGCGTTGTCGTTGTCCATGCTCTCCCTGAGGTCCTTGTCTTCGTCTCTCTCCATGACACCAATTGAATTTTTACGTGCTCCCCCCTCCTTTGCTATCAAATGAATATCCAGCCCAACTAACCTCTGACAAACGCCCCTCTTTAGACGGCTGTCCAGGCTACAAAGACTCGTGCCCCAACTCGGGCATCTCGTCGAGCGCCTACACCGGCCTGTCCAGCCAAGGGTCGAACCCGTACGGTCCCCAGGGGTTTTCGGGTCTCGACCCAATCCACAATGTACGTTTTGTCATCGCCGCAAGGCCTTTCTTTCTTTCTATGAGGTACTAGGTACTGGGTACTATGAGACCGGCTGCTGATCAATGATGACGTGGTTAGTTTATGGATTACTCGAATGATGCGTGTTATACGGGGTTTACGCCGGGTCAGGGGGCCAGGATGCTGAATGTGTGGAACATCTATCGAGCTGGGCTGTGACAGCAGAGGCTGTGAGAAGGAGTTTCGAGTTTTGAGGTGAAAAGACGCTTGGTATTAAAACTGGGTGGCCACTTGAGGGATGGGAGCCGAAAGTAGCGAAGCAACTTGTGATCCTGGTCGTCACAGTCGCCGTCACCCAAAGCTAAACCATTGATAAGCAAAGCATGTGGGAGGCCACCTAGGAGGGGCACCAGCTGTGAATGCAGGGATTTTTGGTTCTGGCTTGGGGTGGCTGGTACAAATACGCTGCTCCAGATGCCCATTTGCACTGATCGTTGCACAATTTGACTCGAAAGCTAAGAACTCGTATTGGCCATGTCACATGTCCAGAACCTCTCAGAGGCCTCTCCCTTCAGCCCATCCCGATGCTTCTCTCGACATCAAACCTACCACACCAACCAGAGATCCGCCCCATGTCTCCAGTGCTTACGTCCATTTGTATGGACTACCGTGTCAACCAGCCAATACGAAAACCCTCACGAAGTCGGAGCATCCCTTCTGTTCCACTGGCACATTATGTTTGGAGCGAACGACCTATCACGCAGATTTCAGAGTCACGCATGTGTCCAAACTTCAAAGCCGCCTGTCAAGATTGCGCTGGTAAGTCCACGCCGACGAGCTCCTCGATCCTGGATGAGGGTTTTCGAGTCTATAGCAGTGACGTTGCGTCGGGCGATGCTGTTCTTCAGTCATTGGTATCGCTCCAATTGAAAGCAGACTTCAGGCATATGATGGCAACCGTCATCCTGCGTTGTGAAGTCTGGGAGGGTGTAGGAAGGTGGTAGCCTCAGACTGAACGTGGCAATCAATAATTGGCTTAGCACTCTTTTGTCTGATGTTGATGCTGGGTCCTGTGTTTGCAAATATGTAAGGCATCCGGATTCTCATTTTGGTTTCCTCTCGCTCCACCTGATTTTGAATTTCTGATTGCGATGAATGTTATGGCCACTACTACTCTTCTAGAATATCTCACTCTCCCCAATCCGGTCCTAGATTGTTTACATTCATCTACGGGATCGAATACGACTAATACCAGCTGGGATAAGTTGTCGGGGCTTGAAGACTGGGCTGAATTTAACTACAACACGTTGATGCACTCGTACGGAGACATCTTGCACCGAAACTTTCCATCCATGGCAGAAACCAGTCCATCTTTGACCGAACTAGACAGGATGATCTTTACTGAGAGAACATTCGAGAGCGTGTTGGAGCGGGCCATTATGCCTCAAGTTTCTTCTGCTTTGCGTCTTGCATGGCCAATTCACTACTCGAACGATGATCTGAAGGACGTCGTCGAGATCGGAAAGGGAGACAAGGCTCGGAAAGGGATCTATGAAGACGATCGATACTACCCCGACTGGGCTGGTATTCGAGAAGGAGTTGTCACGCGGTTTGGATACAGAAATCTCTGTCCTAGGGAGACCAAACTCGAATCAAAGTGGAATAGCTCGAGAAAGGATTTCGACTATGCGGAACCATTTAAACAGATTCAAACCTATTGTGGACGTCAGTGGAATACCCGATATGGGTACATCATCACAACAAAAGAACTTGTTGTTGTCAAAGTCTCGAGGGAAACGATAGGGCCTGGTCTTGCTGCTACGAGAAGCGTTCGAACGGTAACGCAGCAGGCGAGAAATGACAATTCCCACTCGCGAACGATTTCCATCGAAACTGTCAGTTCAGGAGTTCAGGCAATGTCTCTCGATACAGGATCGGTTTACGACGAAGTTGGTAGTCTCAATATCGAGCATGGGCCGCTCCAGTTTAAAAGCATTCCGTGGGATGCTACTGGGGCTTCGAGTCATGGTGGCTACATATGGAGACCGGCAAGGAATCATCTGTCACGAATTATCCGTCCCCAAGCATTGCAGGTACCAAACTAGGTAGCCGAGGGAAAGGAAAAGGTGTCGAAAGGGGGCAATCTTCTGGATCAGCTTGACACCATGTGAATACATAATGAATAGCATCCTCGTAAAACTGTTCAAACTCGAAAGGCGACCATTCTGGACATGGTTCAGTCAATGCACTCGAGAGATCAACAATTTTCGACCCTCGATAGTTTTCGACCCGAGTATCCTTCGGGTGTATTCTCGCTTCGCGAGGAATCCGAAAGTTCGTAAAAATTGTTTCGAGGTGAGAAGCTGTCGTCGCCATCGGTAGATATTCTTTTACAATAGCCCACCGGCTTAGGTCGCGAGTATCGAAGACGTCTCCGACGACACTAAATTGTTGATTGGACAACTTCATCCATCCATAGCACCTACAACTCCATGTACCATTCTCGCCAAGCGCGTCGAGTCGTGCGAATGCTTGGCTTTCTTTGGCAAGTGGTGACATGTAAACAGCGTGCTCGAATGGGTAGATGACAGGACCGACTTGTTTCCAGCTCTTGAACTGAAGTGAAAGTTAGAAACACTCACTCAAGGGAAGATGCTATACAGACCACTTTGAGAGCATATAAACCGCCTTTAATCTCTACTAGAACCACTACGCCATGGTTCCCACAGCCGAGACGACGGGGATTTCGTAGATTCTCTTGGCTATGAGTAAAGCGCCGTAACTGGTCTCCCGTCGTCGGGCTCGAATGGTTCTGCGGCTGCTGCGAAAGGAACTTGCCCACAATGTCATCGCCCATCAGTTCTGCGTCGTTGTTTACCCAGGTCGCGCGTCCGGCCATGACGTAATCGAGCTTTTCTTTAGATGTCAAATTGTACGGTGGCAAGTGTTGGTGCAAGGTGAGGTGCACGATGGGTTCTCTCAAGAGAATGGGAGACGGGAGAGCGTGAAGGTGCCAACCTAGGTAGGCGCGTGTAGTATCTGAGCGTCAGGGGCACAGTTGCACAACCAGCTACGGGAAGGTGAAGCGAGAGCCGCAGTGACTGGCGACACGTGATGCTATTTCCAGCGAGCTAGGTACCAGGAACCCTCCACCTTAGCCCTGATAGCTACTCATACTTTGCGAGCGGACTTTGTTTGAAGTTAGATTCTGGGCGTATTTCTAGCTTGATCTCGCTATCCAACGCGCCGTTTCTCGCTTCTATTACTGTCTGGAACCTCGGTAGGATAGCACCGGTGCGTGCACTAGTGTTGCAAAGAGTCTGTAAAATGCTGCTCGCGACGACTCTCATCCTGTTAGGCCGTTCGTGTCTGGGTGTCCTCTTTTTTGCTGTTTCCGAGCTAACAAAGCCATCCTCTTGGAGGCGGTTTTCGGTGAACTGACGACGACGTCTGAATTGGTCTCTTACATTCTTAATCTCTTTCTTCACCCCGGAGCTAAGCTCGACGCCAGCGCGGCGGGCAATCCCGGATTAAAGATGGCTGACACGGATCTTTGTTGCTTCCATAGAGGAAGGTTTAGTATGATCCTGTTTAGCGTCTAGAAAAAAGCGAACGAAGGCTTTCAGCTCCTCTATTGGAGGTGTTTTCTATCCTAGTGCGATAGCATATGTTTGCGGTTTGCCCTCGTCGACGTACCAACTACGGCGACAAGTCAGTGAAATCAATGTCAATAGGGTGCTGGAGACGCTGCACTCCTCCTATAAATTCAACATTTTTTCCTAGTTCAACTGAGAATTCTCTTGCTAAGTTCGATTATCATCTTGAGCGTCATCGAAGGAAATTGGATGGCCGTTTTCTTCAGCTCTCTCCTCACGGCATCGACGGACTCTTTCGGCTGCTGTGAGGTTTCTATGATATGTACATGACCGTCGCTCACCCTTTGTGCCAGAGGAAAAGCAGCGACGACATCCGACCTCAACATTGACCCAGGAGGTCACCCAACTAATGCCAAGTTGGGGGACCACTTGGGAATCCTGGCTGTCGATTGTTTTTGCTTTTCCTGGGATTTTCCTTTTCGCTTTCACACGAGTACGGTGTTAGAACTTGTTGAGTACTCGTCTTGTATACATAGGTATCTACCCAGTGTTTTATTATGTTAAAAGAGGCGTATGTAGGCTGTGTGGTCTAGATCAAAAAGACATGGCTGGATTTTATTGTAAGAAATTTGACTTTTATAGTGCCATTCTATTTTCGATGACATTTTGGATTCAACCATAATGTTAGTCAGAATTGATTGGCAACTACAGCACTTGTATATCCCTGCCAATGCTCCACGACTGGACCGCGTTGGCAACGTATCTCCCTGACATTATCGGTAGCATACGGAGTATATTAGTCCGGTGACTCCGGTATCCTGGCCGATCTATCATGAGCAGAAAACCCTTTGGCTCCATCAAGGATCAAGGTGGCATCATCTTCTTGTCTTTGTGCCACCCGTCAATCAGAAAAAGCGCTTGTGATGGTGGCCTTATGCACATTGGCTAGGAGGGATTCCTGACATCAGGCATCATGAGATTATCTTGGTTACCCGACACCAGAATAGTGGAACCCATAGAGAGCCAGAGTCTTGATCGCTCGTCCAGGCTTCTCTAGGAGATCATCCACCAGCTCTCTATTTCGAAGAAAACCAAAGCAGTGCAAACAGTCACCAAACAAAGAAAGAGGTATGTAAGTGATTGATTGAGTGAGTGATTGATTGAGTGAGTGATTGATTGAGTGAGTGATTGATTGAGTGAGTGATTGATTGAGTGAGTGATTGATTGATTGGCTGCCAACGCCAAAGACATATGTACAAGCATTTCCCCAAGTTTTGACCTCTCTACTCGGTACTTTGTATTTCTGCATTCAACACCTCTGTTTTGGTATACACTTTTTCTCTGGTTTCTAACCCTTTACATCGACACGAGACAATAGAGAGCCAAAATCGGGATATGGACGACAGTAACCGGCAAACATAATACTGCTCTGGGCCCATCTACATACTCCGGCAGCTTGCCCCGCCATTCTGTATACACATCCATCTATCTGTCTACTCACCCATCCATCCACCCAACTCTCTCACGACCATTCCGAGGAATCAATCTCACATTAGTCCCACCCCCTCTCCGACAGCTTCATTCCCGACAAGTTCACCAAATGTCGACGACTCAGCCACCACAACCGGACACCGCACCCGCGGCGTCGACCCAGTACGACCAGATCGGCCAGTCGTACGAGTCGATGAAGAAAATCCCCGGCGCGGTGCTCGAGCGCAACAACCTCCGCGACACCGTCGTGCCGTACCTCGACCCGAACCCGCCAGACGACAAGAGCCATGGCGGCGGCGGCGGCGTCTCGGTGCTCGACCTCGCGTGCGGCACGGGCTACTACTCGCGGCTCCTCCTCGAATGGGCGTCCCCACGCCGCGTCGTCGGCGTCGACATCTCGCCGACCATGGTGACGGCCGCGGAGCGCTCGGCGGCCGAGCTGGATGCGTTTCGACAAGGCCGGTTGAAGTTTGCGGTGGGCGACGCTACGAAGCCGCTGCCCTTGGGTGTCCTTTCGGCCGAGGACAATGGAGATGATAGTGGTAGTGGTTCGTTCGACATCGTACTGGGTGCGTGGCTCCTCAACTACGCCTCCTCGACCGCGGACATGGCGAGCATGTTCGCCAACATCGCCGCGGCGCTGCGACCGGGCGGACGCTTCGTAGGGATCACACCGCACCCGGCAGGGGACCTCGACGCGTTTGCAGCCGCGCACGCCACGCCCGCCGCGCAGGCGACCATGCGCCGCTTCGGCGTCTCGGTCGCGTATCTCTCCCCGCCGCTCGCCTCGGGCGAGGGCTACCACACGCGCATCACCGCGCACGTCCACCCCGTCGACATCTCGTTCGACAACTTCCACCTCCGCCGCGAGGTGTACGAGGACGCCGCGCGCCGGGCCGGCATGCGCGGCCCCATCACATGGCGTAAAGTCCGTCTCCCGAAAACCGACGACGAGAGTCGCGCCGAGTACGGCGTCGGTTTCGACTACTGGGACGGGTGTGAGGAGAGGCCGCATTTCGGGATCCTCGTGGTGGAGAAGTGATTCCGGACCCGAAAGATATACATATCTGGGGATCTCTGGGGATATCCACGGACTGACAAAAAGTGCAGAGCGGAATCCATATACGTACCTGCAATGCTACAGGGGGAAAGGGACAAAAAGGACAGAACAAGACAGGACATGATAGGACATGCTCAGCTCAACACCACTGAGCAAAACAAAAATGCCTGGAAGGGTATATCAAATTGATTCTTCTTTTGATACCAAGACCCGGCCATGCTAAGACGCTTTCTGGTTCAAAGCTGATATCCAGCTCGCTTAGACCTCCACCCAACGCCAGATTCCAGCAGCACCCTTTAATCATCATCGACCCTCGCCCGCTTCCTCTGCCGTTCTCTTTCGTCCCGATCCCTATCTTCCGCCTGCTCGAGCCCATACCTCTTCTTCCCTTCTCCACCAGCCCTGGCGGACGCCTCTCCGATGAGACTGTCAATCCCAAAAGGATCGTCCTTGTCCTTCTCGAATTGGACAGGCCCAGCCTCTCGCTCCGCCACATCGGCGCCCTTGAATCCTTCCTTGGCTTTGCCCAAAACCTCAAACCTGTTGGATTTTGAAATTTTGCCCATTGCGCTCTCTGCTGCTTCTTCGCCATATTCTTCGTCGTCCTGGTTGCCTGCTGACGGACGATATATGCTATTGATCGCATCGTGCGCTGCGAAGAGGGGTTTATCGTAGTGTTGATCCTCATTAAATCCCGAATCAAACCCAGATGTCTGGTTGAACAACCGAGAATCGTACATCGTCTCCTGGTTCTGCGTCGGCTTCGCCAATCCCAGCGCCACTTTTTCGGAGATGTCTCGATTCTGTTCTCTCGCCATCATCTGGATTCTCTTTTCGGCGCCCATCCTCGACTGGCGGAGTTGTCGTTCATTTTCCTGCCTACGTTCTCGTCGAGCCCGTTCTCTTTCTCTTGCCGCCTCGTCTTCGCTATCACTCCGAGAATTATAAGAGGAGCCCGAGTAAGAGCGTGACCGTGACCGCTTTGTGTGTGTCTCTGTGGCACGCTGTCTCTCCTCCCTGGCCTTCTTCGCCATTTCTCGCAAATGCTCTTCTTTCGCGAGCTTCTCCTTCTCCGCTAGCTTCTGCTGCATCTGCGCGCGAAGCCGGACTTCTTCTCTTGCGTGTCGGTCGGCTGTAAAGAGGGCTTCCGCAAACTGGGCGAATTTGTCGTTGATCGTCACGTCTTGTAGTCCTCGACCATCTGCCGCTAATCGCTTGTCCAAGGGGACCGTATAACCTTTGGGATTCTTCCAGTTGGAGATCGGAGGCGGGATTTTCCACGCCTCCTGGTCTTCTGCGGTTAGTTTCCGTGGGGGCGAGTGCATGACTGGTGGCGGAGGAGAAGGAGGGCCTCGGGGGATCTTCTTGTGCTTGAACTTCGGAGGCTCCATAGGATCCTCCTGCTTCTTGACAATCTTGAATATGCGGTCATTCTTCTTGGAGTTGTCCCCCATCTGATTCGCAGGCGTGTATCGCACGTAAGTCGGCTCTTCCCGATTCACACCCTTCACGTTCTTGGGCTTCTGTGCCGCCACCGCCCCGGACACCAACTTCTCGAGCGCAAGTTTCGTCCTTTCAGCCGTGGCTTGCGCCTCCTCTGCAGATGGCCTGTCGAGGCTCAAGTCGCCCGCGTCCGCGCGCTGTCTCAGTGGGATCAAGTCCTTGAAACTGGAATGTATGATCCGGCCTTCGCTGTGGCCCTGTCTCGCGATGGCATCGTATTTCACTTTTCCTTCGGCGTCGACTTGGATG